TTTAAATAACGGAAATAAATAAGAAGTACGTTTTTTGCGATAATGTCTCGATACTGCTTGATAATTTTCATGATTGACGAACGATTTTTAAGGCCATATTATTTTGTTTTATTATTCGTTTCACTATATTATTCTGGAATAAGAATGCTTGAACAGCTTGTATTTGAAATTTAGGAGAAAGTTATAGAGAACCTTGCACTTCCGCTGTTTAATTTACGGAAAGGAATAATTTCCATGCTTACGTAGTGAGGCCTGCATCATTCATGGGCTCCTCGACATTTACAAACGGCTCTATAATGATGATTGGCCTTGGTTTCGTCTCGTTCGCATCCTCCTCGAGACGAGATTCTGGATCGAGTGCTGGCTGGATTCGCATACCGAATTCATCTTCCGAATTCGTCGCTTCGAACCCGTCGCTCAATGGCTCGGTCTCCTTACCCTTTCCATCCGATTGCTAAAATGCCATTCGATAATTTTTTTTAGTTATAAGCTTGGCAGTAAGTACGTGGGAAGTGTTGGTGCAACGCGGTAATAACGATTGTCGTTGACCTCGGCGATGCCAGTGCGCATAATCGATCCCCATACCTTTTTGTCCATCCTGTCGAGCGGGGCAGCGGCGCTCGTTGTTTCCGCGCTGCTGCTAATCATCGTCGTCTGAGGCGATTCGTCCGAGTTCCGCCTCTCCATCTCAGAGCCGACGGACTCGATGTCGGAAAGCCTCGCCGGCTGGAAGCGCACAATTTTGCCCCGGTGCTTGAATCTGCGCGGCACCGACAGGATGTTGTTCTCCTCGTCCTCCATGTCGCGCAGGAGAATTTGGTTGACGCACTCGAGGACCGAATTGTGGTTGCTGTTAGGTCGATAGACGCTGTGCCGGAGCATCTCGTCGTTCAGCCGGTCCTCGTCCGGGTCGCTGTACCAATTACCCGACGACTCCTCGTGGCTCTGCTCGTCCGGCTCGATCCTCGTCAATCTCCTGCGCAATGCAAATATCGCTTTATTTCTCATGCAAAATGCTTTTACTTCTAAATGCTATGGTGGGAGATAAAGCGATTAGAGAAAGTGAGATCGGCCCCCCCCCCTCCCAACGTACGGCCAAAGTCAATCGAGAATTGGCAATCAATTATTCACACAAATTGTTCGTAATGACATTGTTTCAATATTTAGGGCAATTAGACCTCGGCATCCCTTATTAAATCGACACATAGATCATGTAAAATATTAATACGATTAATGGCAATAGCGTTCGCGATGCATTTAATTAGGCTTTACGCGCGTTTTCCGAACGCTTTCGGCCTCTCTCACTCGCATTGAAAATAAACAGCATTTTGGATTACTTGCTCGGAGCTTCTTATACGCACATCTCAACGTTATTGTTGCTGCGGTCATCGGTGATGGCGTTGGCGTTCACACCCGCGATGATATTCCTCGCATTGTTCTCGTCGCAGCGCGCGTTCTCGTAGATCGGCTCGTCCTCGTCGGAGGCGTAGTTGCAGTCGAGGCCGTCATCTTTGCTCTCGGACCTCGCGATCGTCTTCTGCCTCTCGTCGAGGATGACCATTGTGACCTCGGTCTCGCTGTCGGTCATGACGATCGTCGGTGTGCAGCGGCTGCTGGACTTGTTGAGGGTCGAGCCCGGTGAGACGTCGGTCGACTCGCCCTCGCAGAAGCCTTCGGTGCTGAGTAGCGAAGGACTGCCGTCGGTCGTCGTCGTTATGATCGAGGCATCCGTGTTCTCGCTCGAGGTCAGGCTCGTCTTCGAGATATCACTGCCCGCGAAGCTGTGCGTCTTCCGGATGTTCGTGCTTGGATGACCGGACTCGCCGTCCAAGCCCTCATTAAGCTTCGTTATTATCTCGCATTTCAACTTCTGGATATCCTTGCTCAGACCGCTATCGTGCTCCTGTAAAAGGCTTTGTATTAGCGCACGATTGCCGGGGGGGGGGGGTGAGGCTCGTTCAAGCGTAAAGCAGCTGCATGTACGACGGGCCTTCGGTTTATTGGGGACCAAGTGCTCGTAATTAAACGGGTGGATCGTGTGCCTCGATTCTTTCCTGGGTTCATTACGGTTGTTCGATGCACGTGTTCTATAGCTCAATGATGATCGATGGAAATGCGAATTGGGCATTAAAATTTTCGCTCAAAGAGTTGGAAAGTAGTTTTAGTGTATTGTACGTAAAAAAGTAAGACACGACTTAGAGCATTAGATTTTCTAATAAGTCCTCGAACGAAAAAAGAGATGTCACCTACCTATCTGAAAAACTAACTTTTTTTTTAAAATAATTATATTGAATTAATTACAGCACCGATGTTTTACCGTTTATAATTATAAATATTTGAGTTTGAAATTATTATATATTATCTGATAATAAATTCAAGTAACTGTATTTTCCTTTAATAGCAATTATTATATTCATGATAATATCATTAAAATGTCTTTTCTACGCTTTAATTTAACTGTAAATTACAAACTACAAATTACAAATACAAACTGTACGTCGGTTAGTAAATAGAAATAAATTTTATTTAAATTATCATTAAAGCGATTAGAGATTGTTCCTACAGGGGTAATGTTTTAATATCTACATGTGCTGCTTGACAACATTTATAGAATATTTATAAATTAAATTTATAGGCAATTTAATTGACCAATTTAACTATCATGGATAATACGGTAATGTTTATGTTGGAAGAAAATGATTAAATACACTTAACTTAGAAAATGTAAATAAAGAAAGAGAAAAAATAATATACTAAGTATAATATAACTGTTTACTGTAATTTAAATACAAATATATATATTGTCTTGGTAATGCAAAGAAATTATTTTCTCAGAGTATTTGTTCCAATCATTATAAGTTAAACTTATAATAAGTAATAATAAGTATAAAACATAATATCAAAAAATTTTTTTACTCAAAATATAAAATCGAAAGTTTTTGGATGAAAATTAAAAAATAATGTTAAGAAATTAATAATAAAAATATTCCAATAGTGTGAAATAAAATGTACGGTCATTATTAGAAATTATCTAATTAGTATTTGTAATAGCATATTTTTTTATGAAATAACACGTTACAACTTTAAAAGCTTGAAAGTTGTTGAATTTTTATTAGACTTAGTCGATTGTTTTGTTACTAGTTAAGAAATCGAGTTCGCATAAATAATTCAATATACAATATCAGTTACCAGTTATCAGTTACTTGTCAAATCAATAAGTCGTATATAGAATCGTTAAAAGTAAAAGTTCTAGCAAACGAATGTTAATATAAAAAGCATTTTTCCGATAAACGATAAGATAAAAAAAATTTCAAATGGATTTATTTATGATACAATGGATGGTCCGAATTTTTAAAGTGGTCTTTTATGTTTTAAACATTACCGGTACACGAGCATTCGAAGATTTTGTGTTACATTATCCATCCACTCAAATCAACCGATAATTGTTTATTATGAAAATTGCTTATCTCGCTCTTTGCGATGGCTGTTCTTACATTGCAATAATATAATATACGTTACAAAAGAAATGTGCAGTCATCGTCGTCATCGCAAATTACGGGGGCGGGGTGGGGAGGGGGGCAACGACAACGACGACGACGAGAACGAGGACGACAAAGCGTGCGTATTCTATACGACTAAAGTCGATTTGCATTACACGGCTCGATATAATTACATCATTATGCCCATATCAAGATCGAATTAGAAAATTCGTATCTGACGGAAAGTCATAAAGCAAGTGCCAATCTAAGCTCGAACCTCGTCGCCTTCGCCGTCGGTTCGTGGTAGTGGAATAGTAGAAGTTGCTAAAAAGGTAAAACCGCTCCAGCAGGTCGGTCTAGTCGCGAGCAGACGCACTTCTAGCTTACCTGGAAGTCCGAGGCCTCGAAAGAGGGCGGATCCTCGGTCTCGGCCTTGTCGATGACCTCGGCAGCTCCGGTGCAGCGGCTCTGGTCGCGCTTGCCCTTGATGTAGCTCTTGGTATAGCGCCTGAGTCGCGCGATCTCGAGTTGCTGGTTCCTTATGACGTTGTCCTTCTCGCAGAGCAGCTGTCTGATGGACTTTTGCTCCTGCTTGAGTCTCGACTCGAGAACGAGAAGCGCGCGCAGAATGCGCGACAGCTGCTGGTCCCGCAGAAGACGCTCGCGCTCGTGGTCCGCGCTGAGGCCGTCGAGCTCGCGCACCAGCTCGCGGCAGCGTCGGGTCGCCGCCCGCAGCGAGTCCTCGGTGCGCGCCACCTCCTGGCGCAGGCCTCGCACCTGCGACTCCATCTGAAAACGAGCCAATAATAGAGAGAGAGAGAGAGAGAGAGAGAGAGAGAGAGAGAGCGTGGTTGGGACGTATCGCGCGCGAGGGCCAAGGTAGGTACGCTAACGGTAAACAAGGAGCGCACGAGCCTTCTCTCTTTCGTAATCACGCACGCTTCTAGAACGTCGACTGTCATCGGCGCCGATTTTCACCTACTCGACGTTCTTTGCGCGTCCGTTTCGCGATCGTGAGTTTGGAGCAACGGGAGATGGGAGGAGGTGGTTGGGTTACGGGATACTTCGCCCGATAGCCAATCTCGTCTTAAGCCATAATTTCGGGGGATAAGGTGTACGCGAGCGTATAATGGGAAATGGCTTTTGTCCTTTACGACGATGTATAAACGCTCACGCGCACGCGCGCGGCCTTTTAACCGTACACTCGTGCATTGACAATGATAACAAAAGGAATACAATGCATCGAATGATCGACTTGATTATTCGTACGGGGCAACAGACGCCGTGCGCCATTGATATTGGATTAGAGATTAATTTGAAAAATATTTGCCGCGGGACGTCGGGTTTGTCTGGTATTGTGGTAATGTTACGATAAGAAGCATGCGTAGTCGTGTCATTTTTGTACAGAATTTATATTGAAAATCAATTTGTCGAAGAATTTTAATTATAATCTTAAGCAAAGCATAATTACTATTATTAATATTTTATCAACATGGTTTTAACTTTTCAATGTTAGTTGAGAGGCTACATCATCTAATAATGACACGCGTCATTAAACCGGTTAATTATGGGAGAAATTGCTCGCGAAGAAGTTAATAATTTTAAATAATAAAATTTTCTTCCAACTAATGCAAGAAGAAGAAGAACAAGAAGAAGAACAAGAAGAAGAAGAAGAAGAAGAAGAACAAGAAGAAGAAGAAGAAGAAGAAGAAGAAGAAGAAGAAGAAGAAGAAGAAGAAGAAGAAGAGGAGGAAGAAGTACACGGGCGAGGTAACAAATGAGCTTCATTAATAACTCGGCGGGTGATAGAAGCGATGTCGAAATTTGAATAAACAAAGATGGTCATCCCAACAGTTGTACCAATGTGATGAATCGTTGTCGTAGTGCCAGCCAACGCGTCGTTAATGTTTTCAGAGTCTTAACAAATATCATCGCCCGCTCATCCAGCCACATTGATTATATCCTGCGATAAAATCTCGTTTCCCTTCCAACTTCAATTTTCTCCCGACGGACGTGAAATAGACAAGAGGCAATGCGGCATAAATGCCCAGGAGCAATACAAGGCAACTTTGGTGCTTTATGGTTCGAGCGCAGGAAGGAGTCGCGGCTCCGGGTGACAGCACCCTGAGAGCATCCTTTTGTGCTCCCGGTAACGATCCATCGCCGCCGCCACCGCGAAGAGTACGGGGCCCGGAGAGAATAAGACCTCGTGAGCGGTTGGCTGACCTCCTATCCGGTCCCTAGGCTGCCCCCTCGCGGCGTAAAAAAATCGTTGGTCAAGAATGGTGAAAGTAGCGCCGAGTAGTCGGAGCAGACACACTTTTCGGCCGGTGCGCCACTTCGTCGTGGCTTCCACGACTTGGGTATACCGACTCGCCTCCGTCGGCCCTATCCTATTCCATATCCGCTAGATGTTGGGTGGTTGTGTGGGCTTATTAGACAGATAACGCGGGCGCGCAGGACGTTCCTCTGCGAATGCCTAAGAAGATCTTCTTTTGCTTTGGTGCTACGATTGTGCTAAGAAGGACGTTTTGATTGGGGCAAAGGCGATCGAACTCTTTTTCCAAAGCGCTCAACGAGAATGAAGTAATAGCAGACGTTGTGCACGAAATAGCGGATTTGCTGCTGTAATTCAGTCAAATTTTCCGAACTTTGTGAAATAAGATAGCTACGTTAAATCCAACGTTCTCCTTTTATTCTTGAAAACCTTCAGTACTAATAAGTTTTATATAGGAAAAACCAAAAAAAAAAAAAAAAAAAAAAAATCAACTCTTAATTGATTTTTTCAAGTAAAAATCTTTGGGCGAGCCTTTCTTATATTGTATTAAGATATTGTGAAAATTGACAACTTAAGTATGCAAAGCAGAGATTAAAAATTTTACAATTGGTTTTAAATTCCAATGTTGTTTTGTTAGCTATAAAACATAGCAGGCTATCAAGATATTATTAATGAAAAAAAATATAGTCGTCCCTGATTTTTTTTTTTTTTTTATAATATATACGTTCTTAACAATTATCTGAAACACTATAATAGAATTATTTCTTCAAGCATATCCATTGGGTATTTATGTTTAATTCAATACTCGTAATAATGTTTGCTTATAATAGATTTGTTAATAATTATTAACTTACTTAACTTTTACTAAGACTATTTTTAAATAGATGATTTGCTGACAATTATCATATTTAAAAATGTTTGGATTATGTTCACGTTTATAAATACGTTTATCCTTAAAATTACTGTCAAGCGTAATGTTTTGGTCTTCAAATTTTTCTTATACAACCTAGGAAACCTTAAAAATAGAAGAATTTTCTGAATAGTTTTCTAAATCGTTGGAGCGCGAGTAATTACCTTGAAAATTACCAAGTTAGAGAGAGAGAGAGAGAGAGTGAGCGAGCGAGCGAGCGAGAGAAGGGCGGGAGGGAGAGTGACTTGATGTGAGAGGGACTAGTCAGTAATGGCGGCGGTATGGGGAGAGGGGCAAGGAACAGTTAACACGATAGTAGACTTAAAGGGAAAACAACCTTTGGCAGGTGCAGGTACATTAGCCGTGAGAGAAGACGAAATTTAACTGTTGACGACCGTTGAGGCGTGCGAAAATTCACAGAAGCAGAGGAAAATTTGTCTTTGTCGTTGGACTAACGTCGCACAAACAGGCACAAGCATTTTATCCGGGAGGTAGACTTTTGCCGTCGAATTTGCGTTGAACTAACCAATTTACACAATAAGTAACTGTTGGGCATATCAATACGGTATAATAATTATAGAAGTAAACAAAATGGAATTTACATAATAGTTTAATTTGTCTAACTTGATTCATCCATATTGTTATATCATTAATGAGATAACGTGCAAAAATAAGTAAGTAAAGTATTTAAGTAAGTCATTGTGTGCAATATTTGAAAATAATTATAGCCTCGGCCGATTGGCGAGTACTGTTAAATTATACAACAGCAGTTGCACCGAGAATTTCGGAGTTGGTTATTGTAACGTAATTTTGATCAAATAACAATTATGCGAGTTATTATAATGAAATACTTCGCCGAAACGTTTATTTAGCTCTGAAAACTTCATTTATGCTTATTGACAACTTTAAAGAACGACGTATTCAAGTTCAATGCTAATTTCAAAAAATAAATCAAGGTTATCGATTAAAAATAAATTTTATATAACTTCCACAATGGGTCTATGCAGTCCAACGAATTCTTTAAAGCTAAATTTACTTCAGAATAATCTGAAACCTGTACTTCCATTAATTCTTTCATCATAATACGTTGTTACGTCATTACCCGCGCACATACTTACTTGTCCCACCCCATTTACTCCGCCTGTCTCTTTGGCATGTAAATTAGATTCAGTGCAGTAAGAACACTACGGAAGTTTTCTTCATTTGCAGTCGAGCGATGACATCTCGCATACCTTTGGCTCTATCGCGAATCGTATTTCGTATTTCGTAATTGCAGAGTAGTCGCGAGGCTGCAATTACCGCGAGGGTGGGAGGTGGAGCTTTCAAGTGCAGCCGCCGAGTGCACGGGAGCGTATTTTCGAAAATGTGATATGCGCCTAAAAGCACCGAAGGTGAGCAGAGCTTTGTAATTTGCGGCTTGTTAGAATTGACGAAACAAAAGTAAGTCGAGTGAGACGGTGATTCCGAAAACAACGATTAGATATGCATATCCGTTTGGAGGACGAAGATGGATTGTGGTAGTTGGTAACGAGCTATTCAGTTCATTTTTAAAATTATCAGTAATTGCAGCTATTGAGTTAATCGTACTTGCTTAAACATCTATCTTTTTCGATTAATTCGCATTAGATTGTGGCTTTGTCAATGTCGCTAAACACATTTTATGAAAAGATTCTTTAATGCTTATACACGCACAAGCCTGTTGTTATATTACATAATATTTATCAACGAAATAATAAAATCAATTATTTATTATTAAATTGTTTGTTTTTCCAGTAATTTTACCAATCAGATAACTCATATACTTAATTTTCTTTTCTAAATAATTTTTGTTGTTAAGACTGTTTTAACTAATTATTATTATTATTTTTTTTTTTTTTTTTTTTTTTTATACTTTTTTAATTATATTGATTTTTGTCAGTATAATTATGGATCTTCATCATCTTGAATTTATGTAGCAGTGTATAAGAGTATATAAGATAAGAGATAAGAGTTGATTTTACTTAAGATATTATTTGTTCCGTTAACCAATACTTATCGAACGTATTTGAAAAAGAAAAAATTTCAAAATACATAGAACAAACCGATAATTATGGCAATTTTCATCAATCTTTGCTAAAGATGTTATTATATCTTGAAGCATTTAGGGTCGATAACAATAAGCATTTGATCTATTTAAAGTCGTTTAAACATAAGCAATAAACTTCAATAATTATTTAAATGAAAAATATTTTTTATTTAATTTAAAAATGTAGAATTTTGTGAGAATAAATAATAAAATTTGAGCTTCATTGAAAAAAACAAAATAGCAAAAAGAACTTACGTTCATGCGTATTTCATATCAACAAAATTATGCAAAATAAATTTATCATTCTTATTTTAAATACAGCTTGATAAATGAAAATTTACTCAAGTGTTTATTATAAGTTTATGTTAAAAATTAAAAAATGAAAGTATCTTACGTATGGTATAAGTTTGTTCAGTAACTGTGATTTTCTAGTGGAAATATTTTGACAGACCGAGATAATAACTTTCATTCGTAACGTTCCCAATTAACGTTAAGAATGAAATTATTAATAATTAAACATTACGGTTTAATAATTC